GTAATGTCGCCTGCTTGTCCGTCTTTTATAAAATGTACTACGGGGAGTGTGCTATGGATCTGCATGAGCTCATTCCACCTTCATCGTTTTATCATCGGCAATCTAGACGCACGGCGGGATACCATCCTCACTTGGTTCATATCCCAAGATGCCGCACAAAGAGCTTTTCTTCGTCTTTTTTATTGCGCACCGCCAAGGAGTGGAACTCCCTGCCGGCGTTTATATTCCCGAGTGCATATAACCCAGACCTATTTAAGGCAAGAGTGAATAGGCTCCTTCTAGGCAAGATCGTCCCACCGAAGATCTCATCTATGTCCTTAGGCTAGATTGAGGTCAAGAGTGAGCCCATTGTAAATAAATAAAAAAAATATCAGTATTATGGACATATCAACTTCTTCAAGCGCACCACGGAAATAAAGCATATCGTACATAAATAAACTGTTAATTATAGCTAATCTTCTTTTTTTTATGAGGCTTACTTAATCAACACAAATTAATAACAAAAAAACCGGCCATGTGAGAGTCGGATTCGCGCGAAAGGTTTCTTGCCATTCTACTAATAATATTGTAAAGGCGAAAACTTGTAGGTTTGGATGTTTGCTACTTCTTCACGCAAAAACTACTGAACGGATTTAGATTTAGTATATAAGCAATTCTTGGTCTGGATTAATATATAGGCCACCTTTTTCCCGCTAAAAGGTTCCCTAAGTATAGAAGTACTACGTATTTTTGTGACCGATGCTTAAACGGCAAGAGATATACTAATGCTTTCTAATCAATAGTTTTACAGTTTTAAATTATCTACTAAAAAGTCCACGATGGCATATATGTGCTAAGATTGAAAAAACACAAGAAAATTTCATAAAAGTGTATACATTTTTTTTTTGTCCATCTTAAGACGTTTATTTTAATAGATAACATTGATATTGATTGATATATTTGAATACTTTGTTGAGAAAAAAAAAACACGCCCTGTCGATTTTCTAAATACTATTTAATGTGTATGTATCTATTATGACTAAACTGTTTTTTACATGCATTCCATAACTTTTATATTTATAAGGACTATAGTAATAATATTATTATGTTTCTAATAAAAATAATGAAAGTAACGATGGCTAAGTGTGCATTTAGTAACAATGAACACCTATTCAAGGTGAGATTGCCAGTCTGCATATCCAAGGAAATTATTTGGAGTAGTATAAGGCTTATGTAGTGTTGGAGAAGGATAAAAAAGGTTAACTGGACGGAAATAAAATCTACTGAATAAGTATTTCTAATGATCAACGAAAAGAGACGGCTATTAGGGTTACCGCGTAACAACATTGGCTTCGATTTGGTGAACAATGAATTGCACTCAATGTTCAATATGTATTGTTAGGTCACATGTGTACATAGCTTCTATAAAGTCAGGCTATAAGCAAAACTAATCTAATAACATTTAACTATTATTGTGACACTATCGAGAATCATTTAGAAACGCAAAGAAAGTTTCGATAATCGCGCTAAGCGAAATGTGATTCAACATTAGCTCAGAAACTCGGAAGATTACTTAAGTAGTACATAGATACTGACACATATGAAAAAGTAATAGAAATAAGCATGAACTGTATGTGTGAATTGAAAATATCTTTGTTCAAGTAAGCTTATTACAAGCAATGTTGAATCGTCCAAAAATTTTTTTCCCTTACCACTCGTTCAGGACGTCTTTTAGCTGACAAGAAGAACAAGCGAAGGAAACTTTCCAGCTTTTATCATTTACATAAATCATGTCATTACCAAAATAATATGTATTATCACAATAATAAATACAACTTTCAAAGTCTGTAGGTCATATATTGTACATATAACTAGTCGTTATAGAACAAAGCGAAGGCTATTAATTCCATGCATTGCGATTCTTATAATAATCATCAACTTTGTAATAGCCTTTACTCATAAGTATGTTCTTTAAATAAATTTTAAATTTATTTATGGGTAGGATGGGTAGGTCAATTATATTTGTGGAACTTTATTGAATATAGCAATGCATTTACCCAGAAATGATCCTCTTGTTTTTTGAAGTCTGAAGCTTGGAACGGCAAGTATATTTTTATTTCTTGTGTTATGATTATGAACACTGCTTTTTTGTGAAGGAATCATAATGTTTTCTTGCGTACATAATATTTTCATAGATGTATTGAGAGGCAACAGTCAAAATGTTTATTCTTTAAATATTTCTCTGAGAAATTCCCTAGACCGTAAATTATATATAGCGCAGACAGCTCTTTTTTGTAGAGTAAACATATCTTAAATGCTAGCCTTGAATCTTGAAAACACTATGAAAATAACTAAAATTGTGGCAAGATTGGTATCTTGCCGTTTCAACATTTGTTAATGAACGAAGAAACGAGTAAAAAAAAACAAGTTTTTTTATGGGAATTCCCTTAAACATTTTTTTGTATTTTTTGTTACAGCAGCACTAGAAATATATCTTCTGTGAATTTTTTAATTGTCTTACTATAACAGTTCATGAGAAATAGCCTGATGGCGGATGGACGGACAGACGGAGGGATGGAAAAAATCTACCTATGAATCGTAACTAATATCGAGGATGCAGTATACTGCATCCTACTCTTCATATTTTCTGTATAGTCCTCTTCCTGAACAAAGCTTAAACCCCCATTTTTTTTTATTAAACTAAATACATTTAACATGTTTTGCAGTGAGAAATTGTACAGGATTTATAAGATAATTTTATGCTGGCTATCAGAAAAACCACCCTCTCGAAATGATTAAATTCCAGGAATAAACCTTCACATTTTTGTTACTTACCAGTTTCATCAGAGATATCATCAATATAAATGTGAAAGTAACTCAGTTTGAAACCATTTAAGTAGAAGTTTGTACTGGGAATTGGGCTTCTGCTTTTCTTTAAAACCAAATAATTAGTTTTATATCAATTTAAAAAGAATGTAAACTTGGTGAAAAAACCAACTTTGAAATAATCGAATAATTTTTACTCTTATAAATGAAATATAGTTATTTTTTTTTAAGTTTAATTTTTCACAATAAGAATAGGGATGACAACTGGGTAAAATAAAAAACAAATTCTATTATTCCGTCAGTTGGATAATAAAAAAAAATTAGGTTCGTTTTCTTTTTACTTCAATATAACAAGAAATAGTTTAGATAACAGTCATTAAAGTCGAGGAGTGGGGGCTCGCTACGTCACAGTTTCGTAGAAAATGTACAAAGCGTGACGTAATGTGACATTTTAACTCAATATATCGCCGTAAATTAACGAAACATGTTTAATATTTTTCAACAATCTACCTGACGGATGAACAAACAATAATTAGTCGTCATCTCTATTGTTTTACGATTTTGAGGTCTGTTTATTTATGAAAATATTATTTCTACCAGTTTTTTAAAGTAAAACAAAACTACTTAACTAATTTCGTTCAAATTTTAATGGGATTATTTCGAGACTCTTTCAAACAAAAAAGTGTTATATGAATACAAGAAAACAGTCAAGTTGAAATCCTATTCTTGTTTTTTGAAGTTGGTGAAAACTAACTACCGTAAAAAGACACTAATACCACGCAAACGAAGTTGCGGGCAATAACTAGTTGTCTATGAAAAACGCAATATAATCAGATCTTTTTTTGTTTCAAATATATTGATTTTTTAAATATTCGAGTTGAATACGATTGGTCTAGTAAAAAAAAATAAAAAAAAATAGAACCGACTACAAAGGTTTTCTGAAGATTATTTAATTAAATGATAGGCGCTCGACTTCAATAGTATTTTCTTAAATAAATCGCTTTTGATATAAGTATTATTTATCACTTCAAAAGTCGGTTCTATTTTTTTTATTTCATGTTTTTTAATGATATTGATATTTTTTTTATATAATAGGTCCTAATATGTAAAAGTCTTAGAAAAGGAGATTTTGTTTATTTACTCGACATATTTTTTTCCCAATAATTCTATACTCATAATATTAAGAGTAAAGATTTGATTGCTTGGTTGTTTGCATTAGATATGCTCCAAAACATCGGACCGATTTATAAAATCATCGGGAAACAACATTATACATGACGAATATAGGCTATAATTTACTCAGGCGAAGTCGCGGTAAATAGCCAGTTTGATAGAAATTGGTTCACAATTCAAGACGAAATCAATGAATACCTTCATAAAAATTATATACACTCCTTGAACATAGAAATTTCTCCTTTCTGAAATAAACGTATTACATCTGTTGAAAAGCATATTTTGTTTTGATATAAAAGGAAAACTACTGATTCGATTACGATAAAATTTAAATAGGACCGGTTGTTCTGTCAAAAAATTGCGTAAATATCGGTGAATTTACTTAAAAAAAGAAGAAGAAAAAACATCGCCGTCGAATATATAATCTCCTCATTTCACATTTTAAAGTTGGTTAGTAAAAGATAAGAAACACAAAATCTTACAAGATTTTGTATTTCTTTAAAAGTGCCGATCTATTTTGAATTAGTTGCTTTAGAAGTTCATTTTTTTTGTATACAATCTATTGTAATTGTTAACTTCAAGTTAACGCCCCCATATGGTCCTGAAAAGAAGACTCGTCATAGACATTCGAATTATCGTAATAATTAGATAAATCTATCTCTATCATAACTTAAAAATAGTTGCTGAAATAAGCAACCAAAACCAGCTTGTTTGCCCGAATAATTAATAAACACAGATCAAATGCATACCGGTCTGCCAATATTTGCTTCAATATATAATTGACAACAGTATTTCGTTACAATAACTAGGTTAGATTTCCGAGAACTACAGATATTATTTTCAGTAGCAATATATAATTGTCGGTTGAGTAAATTTCAGTGGTATAACTATAAAGGATGTAATAATCACAATTATAGTTTGACAAACAATTTTGCTTTAGAATTGATGAATTTTGGTTATTCCAATTGCCAATATTTTCAAAGATTGAAGGGAAATATGAAAAGAGACCCACCGTGCACAGTATGTTCGCTTCAACGTCTCAAAGTAACGATGATGGCATACGGGCATCTTACAATATCTCATTGCATATCGCAAAATCTGTGAAATCGCACACCATCGGAGATCAGTTAATTTTACCCGCTGGTGAAGAGGTTTTAAAAATTCTTCTGCACATGCCTTCAGGTGACGTACTTAAAAAAATTCCTTTTTCGCGAAATCTTTAGAGACTGACACTAAAGGCGAATCAATATTTAAGGTACTGGGTGATTTTTTTCATGAAAAATCATTTACAAACATCATTTCGGAGACAATAGATGGAGCTCCTGCTATGGTCGGACGTTATCGTGGGTTTATAAACCATCTTAAAGAATAATACCAGGAGTAACCGCAATACACTGTGTCATCCTCCGACAACACCTGGTTGCGAAAAATTTGAGTGATAGATTGCATTAATCGCCTCAACTCGTGATTAAAGCTGTTAATAAAATAAAAAGCAGTGCGTTGAATAATCGTTTGTTTGCCCAATTGTGCGACGAAAATTATGAAGACTTCCGACGATTGCTTTTACATACTGAAGTACGCTGGTTGTCGAAAGGTGCGTGTTTAACATGTTTTACATACTTTTTGAATCAGTTTTAGAGTTTCTGGAAAGTAAAGATCCAGATTTAAAAGAAAACTTTTTCAAATGGAAAGATTTGACAGATTTGTTCAAAAAATATAATGACATTAGCTTGGAGTAACAAGGGGATAGACTAAATTTAATAAAAACAAAGAGTGTAATTTCGGCTTCTCTTGGAAAATTGAAATTTATAAAGCAAAATATTAGTTGGCGCGAATTCTCACAGTTTCCAAACTTGTCACATACAGCATGTCTAGACAAAGATATTCAGACATTCGTTCAACATTTAAACGCGCTGCATGATGACTTCAAAAACAGATTTGAAGATATTTTGATGATGGAAATACCACTGTGGATCCTTTATCCATTTGAAGAAACGGAAGTGGCGGATATGGTATTAAAAGAGGAACTACTCGAGCTCAGCACCAATGAAGAGCTGAAGGTGCAATTTAAAAAAGGTTATCAAAGATTTGGGCTGCAGGCAGAAATACCCAAAAAAAATAATAAAACATATCCTGGGAAATTGCGAGAAGACTTTTGATAGCGTTTCCCTCGTCATACCTTGTCGAAAAAAGTTTAAGTGTCGTTACAAACCTATTAACAAAAAAAAGAAGCAGATTAAATATTACAGAACGGGGAGATTTGCGGTTAATCCTTACAAAACTGAAGCTGAATATTGATAATTTGCTGTCTATCCATCAAGTACATCCCTCCCATTAAAATTCTGGGTATTTTTTTATTATTGATTTGCATTGTTGAAGTTACGTAACGTTATTAGTGTTTCATTTTTAATTCTATTAAGTCTGTTATAATTATTGTTTTAATAAATAGATCGCAAGAAAATATACAATTTTTTATTTATTTTTACAACTCTGAATTTAGAGTTGGATTGGAACTCACCCGCAACGCCAATTTCCATCGTTAGATCTTTACATTTTGGACGAATTTTGGGAATATGGTAAAAATGTAGCAGCAGGGTCCACCGAAACCAGTAAATTTTTTAAAATGGTCTACGAAAAAAAATTGTTTGGGAACCTCTGATAAAGTGCAAGAAAGCTTTTTTAAAGATGTTTGTGCTCCTAATTTGTCCAGGGCAGAGATCCAGGAATACCTATTTATTTCATAAATGTATAAGGTGACTATTTTTTTTTCTTTTGCATGCTTCAATGAGTTTGATTTATTTAAGCATGTTAAAAAATATCCGCTTTGTGTAATAAGTAGGTCTTTGTTTTTTAGAAGATGGATGGATCGTTGTTAAAGTACATGTCAAGGTAGTTAATGAAATGAAATATTTCCATAACATCACTAAGATCTCATATCCTGTGGGTAGAGTTATGGCTGGATAGTTACGCGATCGTACCCCCCTGTCGGAACAATGTAGAAAAATAAGCATTTCTATATTGTATCTATATGGTATCGTCGTAATTTGTTGTTTCGTATTTCTAGACAGCATAATTAAATTTCATATGATGTCAACTTTTGTTATTATGTTTTCAAGTAGGATTAAATTGTGTTCTCCAAAATTGAGTAAAATGTAATGTGTTTTGGTCCTTCGAGAAGCCGGATCTAAACACGTATAGAACCTTCGAGATCCAGCAACAGCAATTCAAGATGGTGCTTACAAGAAGCCAAGACGAAGAAAACCAACGTCGTGTCTTCGACCAGCCGCCGAGATCGCCCTCAAGTACACCGACCGTACGAGGACGCCTCGAGACGGGTAACGCCGGGGAGAGCCTACGCACCGCACCGCAAGTCTCGCAACTAGCGCCTAACGCGAACCGCGCTGGGGCAGACGTTGCCGGAGCACGCGTCGCCTTGGCAGTGACTACGCAGCCGCCGAGCGGAGCGGACGAACGCGCAGCACACCCAACGGACACAGCGGCGACTACTGGAATAACGACATCTGCGATGACGTCATCGGTGCAACCGGCGAAGAGAGTGCACGTCGCGCGTTCGACCCGCTCGGCAGCGAGCAACGCGGCACGCCGGAAGCTACGCATCGAAGCAGAAGAACGACTGGCTGCCATAAGACGCCGAGAACTCGAAATTGAAGCGGACCTCATAAAAAAGACGCTCAATATCGAGTTAGAAACGCTAGACGGAGCAGAGAGCGAACCCGAAGCTGAAGAACCGGCAAATAAATTACAAGATCGAGTGTTCGAGTGGCTCGACGACGCGAACGTCGACCAACAACGGGGGGAGCTCTCAAGGACCGCCGTGGCTGAACCGCCACCTGAACGCGACACGCGACGCCCAGATAGGGAAGAACGAAGACGGTCGTCATCGCGAGGCAGAGGCATCGATCAACTCGCCTCTGTCCTCGAAACTCTCGTGAAGTCACGACCGCCGCCGCGTCAAGCATCGGATCTACCGATATTCTCTGGTTCACCGCTGGAATGGCTACAGTTCGCGACTGCGATGCGAGAAACAACGCGGCTGTACGAATTCACACCTACAGAGAATATGGCAAGACTAAGAAACTGCCTACGTGGAGAAGCTCGGGAAAACGTCGCATCATTGTTGAGCACCGCGACGCACCCCGACGAGATCATGCGAACATTGGAGCAATGCTACGGAAGGCCAGAAAGACTAGTGGACATGGCTTTCGCCGATCTACGGAAGCTGCCGAAGATTGGACCTACCGCGAACGATCTTAATATGTTTGCGGTGAAGCTACAGAACGTCGTGGCCGTCCTGAGGAACGTGCAGCCAGAGTACCTGCTTAACCCACTGCTGACCCGGGAAGTCTTAGACAAGATGCCAAGTTACCTTGTATCGAGTTGGTGCAACTTCGCCGAGTCACAGCCGGGCCCGAACGCCGATCTACTCAAACTTTCATCGTTCCTGATGAAGGAAGCTGACCGCTGCATGCGATACAACTATGTATCGAACCTCACCGCACCCTCCACATCGCAACGAACACGAGAAACGCCTCGCCCCGCCCCCAGACCGGAGGCTAAGAAGAAGACGGTGTACGTCGCCACCGAAGAAGCACCGCAGCGCAGATGCCTTTCATGCCAGGAAGCCCACACACTACCTAGCTGCCCAAAATTCAAGCAGCTAACGTATGATGACCGATGGGAGCTGGTGAAGAAGGAGGGGCTTTGCTTCAAATGCATCGTGGGCCGGCACCGTCGATTGAACTGCCGACAGAAGCTCTGCGGAATCAACGGATGCAAGCGACCGCATCACCGACTGTTGCACGCAGATGAGCGTGGAACGACGAACGACGTGGCTACGAGCGCGACCGACTCAAACGCGGCCGCAACGGAACCAGCCACCACCGAAACGACGACGGCTGCCACGACGACAAGCCGCGCCGTCAAATTGAAGATTTGCCCCGTGACAATCACGGGCAAACGTGGGAGCTGCGACACCTACGCGCTCTTCGACGAAGGCTCGACGGTCACCTTATTAGACGACGACCTGGCGCGACAGATCGGCGCCGACGGACCGACCGCACAGCTCAACGTCCGAGGAATAAACAAGAAGCAAAGTCACGTGCAGAGCCGTCGAGTGAAGATTGGAATAAAAGGAGCGCGCAGTGACCAGATCTTCAAAATCAACGCTCGCACCATGGTGGGCCTGGACCTCACGCCGCAATCGATACCAGCGGAGGCGATGAAGCTACGACACCTAAGAGATCTCGACGAGCGAGAAGTCGTATACAAGAATGCGAAACCTCGCATTTTGATCGGGACGGACAACTGGGAGCTCATAGTGACCCGCGAGCTACGGTCAGGAAAAACCAAAGAACCAGCTGCCTCCAAAACCGAACTCGGATGGGTAATCCACGGGACGGCGCCATCGAGATCGCTTCGCCGCACCGAGGATATCCTACATGTCGTCACGACCGAAGCATCAGACGACCGACTCGAAGAACTCGTGTCGAGACACTTCCGGATCGACTCACTCGGAGTGTCGCTCGACGCATCACACGTCCGCGAAGAGGACAAGCGTGCCGTCTCCACGTTCGAACGCACCGTGAAGCACAAGGACGGCAGATACGAAGTGGGCCTGCCTTGGCGAAACGACGACGCCAAACTGCCACGGAGTTACGACTCAGCACTCCGCCGGCTCACCAATCTAGAGAACAAGCTGAAGAAAGATCCACGCGACATGGAAGAATACCAGCTGAGGATCGACAACCTCGTGAAAAAGGGATACGCCGAACCCTGCGACGGCTCCGAGGACGCTAGCCCCGTCGCATGGTACCTGCCGCATTTCGCCGTCAAGAATCCCAATAAGCCCGGGAAGCTGCGACTGGTTTTCGACGCAGCAGCAAGAATTCGAGGTGTCAGCCTGAACGATCACCTACTCGAAGGGCCGGATCTGCTACGATCGCTGCAGACCATTTTGTTCCGGTTCCGAGAGGGCGCATACGCGGTGACAGCTGACATCGAGGAAATGTTCCTGCGGATCAAGATACGCCGCGAGGACCAACCCGCACAGATGTTCCTGTGGCGCGACTGCAGGCAGAATGAACCACCGCGCAAGCTGAAGATGACATCGATGATCTTCGGCGCATCGAGCTCACCGTTCCTCGCACACAGCGTGAGGGACCACAACGCGAGACAGCATGCTGAGACACACCCTGCAGCACTGCGCGCAATCACCGAAGCGCACTACATGGATGACTTCGTCGACAGCTTCAATGATCCGAGAGAGGCCCACGAAGTCATCACCCAAGTCGACGCAGTGCACCAGAAGGCTGGATTCCACCTGAGGGGGTGGAACAGTAACAACAGGAAGCTTCTACAAGCCGTGAGCCCGGATAGTAGAGCCAAAAGCGGGACTACGACGTTTGGAGACACAGAGAAGACATTGGGCCTGCTTTGGGATGCAAATACCGATCGGCTGGGCTTCAACACCGCCCTGCCTAGAGTCCCACTGCCAGTGAAGTCTCGACAACGCCCGCCGACGAAAAGAGAAGCATTATCGACGGTGATGAGCATATACGATCCGCTCGGACTGCTCAGCTGCTTCACAAACACAGCGAAGATAACTCTTCAAAAACTATGGCGCCTCAAGACCGGCTGGGACGACCCTCTACCATCCGACTTGAGCGAGGACTTCGATGCATGGTTGACAAGCCTGCCAGCAATCGACCAACTACGGCTACCCCGTAGTTACAACGGGGGGAGAGAAGTGCGTCGTCGTGAGCTTCATGTGTTCTGCGACGCCAGCGAAGAAGCCTACGCAACGGCGGCGTATTGGAGGTTGCACTACGGACCCGGCCATGTCATCGAGACAGTCCTGATAGCGGCAAGAGCTAAGGTCGCGCCCTTGAAGACCCACACCGTACCGCGCCTGGAACTTCAAGCGGCCCTCATCGGAACGCGACTAGCGAAAGCAATCAGAGAGGAACACCGTGTCAACGTCGACGACACCGTGTACTGGAGCGACTCTCAGACGGTGCTTCATTGGCTGCGGAATGGAAGCAAGCGCTACACTCCATTCGTCGCACACCGTCTGGGAGAAATAACTGAGTCATCCAGACCGCAAGACTGGCGATGGATACCGACGCATCTGAACGTAGCC